ATATATATATATATATATATAATTGTATATAACTTTAATTAGTTTATGCGATTACATTTAAATTCGCTAGCATTGCTTATATTTTATCATTTTAATGCCAATAAATTAAGAGCATGCGCAAGCATTTAATTCATTTGCTCAGCGATCCGTATAATTATGTACACATTCGGGGGACACAGAGAGAGAGAGAGAGAGAGTACGCGAATTAACAAAGTACATAAGCGTTTCTTTTTGCACATCTTTCAAAATTAGTTCGATTAAAGAAAATTAACACAGATCCCCGCTTTGTTCGATACCCTCTTCTCGCCCCCTCCACCCCGTACGCTCTAAATTGAAGTACTTATGCTCGTTATAAGTGCGACACAAAGAGAACATCCACGAGATCAATCCTGTTATTTGCCGTTCGATATACGATTAGAGGAGAATTCTCGTGGATATCGCGCATAACACGGTGTGAGCTTGAAGGAATGTGTGAGTGGTCAGCGTTTATATCCCAATTAAACGGTACAATAAATGATTTAGCTCTTATTTTCTATATATGTACAACGATGATCTCGCGCGCTAAAAGGATCTCTTCTTCGTTCTACGAATCCTTTGAACGAATAAAAATGCGCGTTATGTGCAGCTGCATTATTGTTATGTCTACTTAAACGCTTCGGATACTTTCTGACAGACGCGCGAAATATATCTCACATACGTAGAGGCGTGCTGGCTTTCTTAAGGTACAAAAAGAGCGTTGGCAGCTGCGCAAGACGCAAATTTCTCAAATCGGTGCTAAGATTATGATCTATCTACGATGTTGAAGTTACTACTGTACACGTTTCTCGAATTGTTCCTTTTTTTTTTTTATTTTTTATTTTTTTTTATGAGTATATATTCGTTAATCGCACACTTTTTCTTTTTTTCGATCGCTGTTTCGATCTTCTCGTTTGTCGAAAGTAAGATGCGGAAGTACAGCGTAAATATACAAATCTTGTACGCATCTCCGCTTGTGCATTGCAACAAAACGACGACGATGACAATGAACGTGTTATTGAGCAGAAGCACTATTCTAATAGCGATATAATACCTATTTTCCTCTCCTCTTTTCAATTCTTCACGCGAATCTCGAAGGCTTGTACAAAAAGAAAAATGGAATTTTATTGCTATTAAAATAACAATAGTATACTTTCAAATACGATTACAAATGACTAGTTACATTGATTGCGTTAAAAAAAAAAATAAATAAAAATAAAAAAAAAAGAAAGAAAGATTATGTAATTGGAGAAATACTGTAGATTAATACACAATTTTATACGCGCGAAAAAGTTCGTACAAACTTTACAACTAGTACTTTGTATATAGCTGTCTAGATCTCGTTGAAGTACATAAAATTAAAGTACATGTAAATAGAGATGATTGTTTTCTCCAGCTCGAATCGTTATTTATCCAACAACCCCATGTGTTTCTATTAATGTCTCTAATATCGAGCTGCCGTATAATTAAAACATAAATTGGACAAAAATATAAACTTGTAAGTTCAGTTTTTACTTATTTTAATAATAAAATGTCAATTATTTTATAGAACAGAGTTCACACACACACACACACACACACACATCTCTAGTCACAACAAATCTCTCTGGAATGTCGTCTTACATCGCATCAAGTTTTGAGTATCACCGAAGTTACGTTGTACAGAAAATATACGAATGTCATTTTTGCATTAAGTACAAAAAACTTGTAAACTTTCGTTTTGCCGAGACGTAACAATTGCACATGAAAAAACATATGTGTTTATTACGTCGCCGTAGTTAAGTCAAACAAAAAAAAAAAAAAACTATTTTTTTGTTTTCTTTTTTTCTCTCACTTTACTAAACGCGGAATTGCATTTTTTATGCTTGCATTTCACAATTTGCAATCTTCTCTCGACACGTTTTTTCTCTCTCGAAAATCTCGCTTCTTCCTCTTCGTAGGGTTAAATATACATATATATATATATATATATATATATATAATTGAAATGTGCTGATTGCGGAGCGATAACGATTTCTGGAATGTTAGAATGTTACGAAACCATAAAACAATGTCAACTCGCAGAAGCTACGTTTGTTAATATTTTTTTTTTCAAATATATAATATATATATTCAACAACTCTCAGAATAATAATAGTATATGCAATTTTTTTTTTTTTGTACATACACCGGTAATCGCAACTCTTCCTCGTGGAAATATTTTTTATACGCGACACGTACATACAATACATAATTAAACGCGCGTTAAATAAAAATCTAAATTGCGCGCGTCTCTCACACGTCACACAAATATCTCGCTAAATTGTATCGCAATGGAATGTTAGAGTAACTACTACTTCTACCGCTGAGAAAGTCGTTCGCAGGAGGCAGTGCTTCGACAACGTGCAATTCGTTTTTTTTTTTTTGCGACATCTTATCTTTTCTTTTCCTCGCCGGATATAAGACTAAATCTGAATTAACCGTGATCGTACAGTCAAAAAGGCATAAAGAGATCGGTTCTACATTCCCTTACAATAAATCGATAAATAGATAAAAGCATCGACGAATTTTTTTCAGTCCCTACGTGAGTGAAAACCTTGTCGTGAATCTTAAATAAGCCAGTGCTATGACAAGAATTCCCTCTCGAGTTCCGAGATGCTTGGTTTCCTGCTTCGATTAACACGTCGGGTGGTTTGCAACGGCACCGTTACGTCCTGGCTCTGGCCGTGAACCGGAATGTCCAGCAACGTCTCTCTGTGAATCGCGTCGCGCGCCGGCACCCCGCCGTCGCGATCGAATGTTACCGGCGAAAAGCGTACCCTGCCGATCGAGATCTGACTGTCCTTCGCGGAGACATAACTCGAATCCTCGGATGTGAGCGAATCCGGAGGCGTCGGGTTCGTCGGCGTGCCAGAACCGGAATTGTTTTTGCTCACGCTCTTGCTCGGCGAATTGTACGGATTGTAACTGGACCGCTTCAAGCTCGAACGCAGCCGCGTGACCACTTCCAGATTGCTCGGCCGTTCGCCGGAATTCGAGTTGGAGTCGTGGGAATTTTGACGGGTAAGCAACGGCGAACCGTATTCCTGATTGAGTATGGAACCGTACGCGGACGTTACGTTGGTCACGACATTCGACGGTCGCTGATAATACAATACTTGCGAGTACATGCTATACTCGTCCTCGTCCTCGAGTCGGAATGTCGGATTGACGTTGCTCTGACTTGACGTACTGGCGTTAGAAACGTTCGACGAGGTACGGTGATGCGTGTACGGCAGAAGCCTGGATATCGGTCTGGCCGGGCTATTTATACTGCTCGGATTGTCGTACGCGTGCGGAAACTCTGGACATTCGAGCATCCGATCGCTGAAAATAACAGAAGACGCGCTGCGGTTTTAAACAACATCATCCGTACACATATAGTAATCCATTATATATATATTCTCGATTTACTTACTGAAATTCGGAAGGTAAATAATAGGGCGGTTCGGGAGACCGATAATATTCCGATGGTATGACAGGATAAATAGACGGTCCGTAATCCGAATACGGAGCGACGTTTCCCATGTACATTGTCGGCACTCTCTCAAGACGATCGACACGGGCCGCATCGTGCGAGTACGTGTCCTCGTTGCTGGTGCTGCCGCTGCTCTTTCTTCTTGGGCTCGGTGTCGGCGCGTTTGAACCCGACGTGCTGCTCGTGTAATGCTGCGGAGAGTCCGTGAAGCGCAAAGGCTTGTCCGGTATCGCCGTTGATGGAAGGCCAGGCGCTATGCCACCCATGTTGCTTAAGAACGGCCTGTGATCATTTCATGTACGTGTATGAGAGAGAATATATATAGAACATTTCAAATTATATTCTCACAACTTTTTTTAAACAATACATCTCATTTTATATGCGAATACTTCTCTTTGACTTAGATTATACCTGTAATGGTGTGCCCGTCCGTGATAAGTGTTGTGCGGATAGCCGCTGCTCGAGCTGAACTCATAATCGGCACCGAGATATGAATTGCGATTCGACCCGGTGTCCGCCTGGAACCACCATCTGGACTGGTCCTCGTCGCCCTCGCCCAATCTCGGATACAACCGCGGATGGATCGGTGATATGTTCGACATTCTCACGTCGTAACCGGTTGCCACACCGGCCAGCATCGCCGCGATGTTGTACAGGACCAGTTCGATTACGCCTAGCTTTGGTTTTTTCGTCTCGCCGTTGTAGAGAGTTGGCATTGGAACGGGCATCGGCATGATGTAAGGCCCGGTCAGTCCCGGTTTCAGCGGATAATCTGACGTTATCCAGTCGGTCGACAGTTCGGGAGGTAATGCTGTATAATCTACAAAAGATATTCACGTTGTTTTGTTGGACGGACGATGAGCATAGCGGCCTGCTAGAGTAATAGGAGAGTATAATAGGTAAATAGACAGACTGGATAGACGGATAGAGAAAGACCGTTAAATTAAAAAATTTACAAAAGTAAATTAATACATAATCGCTAATATATGTTTTTCGCGACAAAAATCTTCACCTCTTTCCGCTTCTCTCTTCTGGTACTCTTGTCAAATTCGATTAAAAATATATACTGCTTACCTTATGTTTTTGCGCAATTTTAATTAATTCTTTTAACGCACAGTCAATATATATATATATATATGTATTTTACGCTCATACAGAGCTTTTATTGGACAATAAAAGAATTCGACTAGATAGCTCGCGCGTTCAGTTATCATATTATTAAAGTGCTTTGATTATTGTCCATGCAGAAAGATTGATTAAGAGTAATCTTCATTAGTTACTTCTACTTCTCTCTATGGTTTGGACGCTAAGAGCAAACAGTGTTACAAAGGAATGTGCATCCGTTATATATATATGAAAAGGTATATTTTAAAAATTGGCTAGAAGAATGTAAGAATTTTTGTTTCTATTTATAATCAGTCTTTATTTCGTATATTTTTCATATTTTTTTTTTTTTTTTTTTTGCAAAATAACTTTTGGTACAAGATATTTGACTTCTTAGCCAATTTTTGTAGAAGCAAAGTTCAACGTTCTAAAAACAAATATCAAACAATTTCCAAACAAGATTGTCGATCAAACATTGTGTGCTACAACATCATGTACAAAAAAACTGAAAAGAACAAATCTAATACAATTATTTTACTCTCTAAAGTACGGAACACTCCAAATTATATAAATTAGTCAAATAATAAACCATGACAAAAAATTGCTATTTTACACATCTTTGTTTTTTTATTTAACTTTCACACAACTCATCATCATCAGTTTTTCAAACGCGTCACGATTACGAAACAAAAATATCACATCAAAGCCAGATTAATTTTAGCAGAAGCACTTAATCAGACCATTTGCAAAATTACTTGTTTCTATTACTTGTCAATTGTTACAAAAAAACAGATATAGGGTAACATTTGCTCTGTAACAACCTGGAATTTTAGAAAGAAAAAAACTGGACCAAACCCAAACAAAAAAAAAAAAAAACGGAGTTAACAGTTAGGATCCTACTGGAAGCATGCAAGGATCGTTTTTTTTACGCTCGGCCGTCAAAGATATTGTTACTTTTTGTTTTTTTTTAAATTGTATATAATAATATAGCAATAATATATGTAATAGCGTTTAGCAATATGAATATATACTAGATCATATTTCTCTCTCATATTCTTGAAACAAACACACTTTTATCTAAAATTTATTCCTTCATAAAGATAAACAATACAAGAGATACACTTGACAATTAATCTGCTCATCAGCCAAATGCTACATTATCATAGAGGGGCCGAGCGTAAAAATTCAACAAAACGAAAAAAATAAAATTCGATGTGTCCAACTGAAAAGGTTTTATTGAAAAAATTTCTATTTCTAAATACAAGTGTGTGCGTGTGACTCTGTGTGTTGAATGTGATGTGTGTGCAAAAATCTTTGCTCTCGAAAATATTGAAGTCTGGATATAACAAACATTACAGAAATTAATAAATTCGCTGAAAATTGTCTTTTTAACAATTAATAAATTTGCAATCGATCTAAAATGCACATAAGGCAAATAAAATAAGAGGGCTACGTTAACAAGTGTATATTTTGTCCTCTTTTTTTTTTTTTTTTTTTCTATCTCTCTCGTTATATGTATATATATTATACAAATATATATATTTATATACACACACAGTATATGTATGACGTAATTTTTTTTTTTTTTTATTTAGTTTTAAAATTACGATTATTAAAATTAAGACTATTTGCAGAGATATACAACCTGACAACGCTCCAATGTAAAAATAGTATATATCGGTTGAGGTTGAACTTTGCGGGAATGGCCGAAGCGTGTGACTCTTTTTTTTTTTTTCACGTAGTAGTGGGCTGTTAGGTCTGCTTGTTAGAGAAATGTTATTGTCTTCCAGATAATATCAGAAAAGAACCAACACCAGAAAGACTCTGCGTATATGTATTATAATAATTATATTTTTATATAATTTCATTAGATTTTTTTAACTTACTCAGAAAAAAACTACGAGTATCACATCGGCTTAAATTAAGATAAATAATAATTCGTAAATTTCACGAAACGCGTCGAATTATTATAAAAAAAAAAAAATTATATATATATATATTTATTTATTTATAAGTCCCTGCGTATACAAGTTTAACAGTCGATGCGTTACACTTAAAAATATACAAATTTAGACAATTCTACCTTCCGAGTTCAAGTTAAGATTCCGCCTGCGGTTTTAATTTTCTCTTGTCATAAAAGTTAAAATTTTTTTCTAATCTGTGTGATTTCACGCCAAATTTAATTCAAGTTCACTTTGCAAGTTTAACACTGCAACGAAATCCGTTCGAATCTGTCTGAAAAAATAACAAACTATGCAAAAAAGCAAAAAAATCTCGTTTAATCGATCGTTCACGAAGAGTCTGTAACAAATCTATAATTGTGTTTCGTTTTCCAAAATATACTTAATAATTGATAGAGAAAAAGCAAGAAACCGTCTTATATTGTTTGTTTTTTAGAAACAATAAAAACACTAATGTGGTGGTGTGTGTACATGCATTATCACTATGTGATCGAGAATCACTAAGCAATAAACTACACAATATAATATTGCAATATTGCAAAACGTGTTCGGTTACGAAAATAAAAGTGATCATCGCCTACTTGAGAGATCTTCTTTTACACACATGTATATAATATGAACAATTACTAAAGACTACCGATCGCGCGAAATAAAAATTTTAGACGGGAAGAGAGACAGAAATGTGTGGATGAGGATAAGAGAGAGAGAGAGAGAGAAAGAGAGAGAGAGAGAGAGAGGACATTAGCAAAATACGTAACAACCGTTGCGTATGAGAAAACTTACGGGTATGGTAGATGCTTTCCTCAGAGAGGCCTGCGATAGAATAGAAACACACGATCAGTACGAGGTCATTCTCAAATATATCAAAGTAAAAGTGAAAAGTGCAATGGAAAGAAGACATGCCATCGAAATGCATTTCGAGCTACAGGCTCTAATTTATGTTTTTTTCTCGTCGGATACAGGATGCTCGCGGATCAAACAAATCCGGCCGCGACATATTTCTTACAACGACGGATATGTATGTGTGCGTGTGTGTGTTTATGGTGTCCGTTCCAATGGATGGATCTACATGTACAAAGTCAAGTATCAACCCGAGTGAAATAAATTTAACTCGACTGTTGTTTCGCGCAAAATTAAATTGTTGCTGTGTTAAGCCCGTTCTACATTGATCGCAAGCGCAAACGCAAGGAACAGGTCTGGTAGAATCGACCAATCACGCTGGTCAATTGGCTGATTTGATCAATACGATTGGTCAATTCTACCAGACCCGTTCGTTGCGTTTGCGCTTGCGATCAACGTAGAACGGGCTTTACATGTCCGGAATAATATTACGCGCGCAATATTATTCGTAAAAAGAAACAGAAACCAGTAAAAAAAAAAAAAAAAACACCCTGTATGTGTAAATCGCGCGAATACATTCGCGTTCTGTTCTGTCGCGCAATTATTCATTCGTTTCGCGTTTACACGATGTCCTCCGTCAATCAAAAAAACTGAGAGATTAGCGTAATCTGGGAAGAGACACATGCGGACATTGNTTTTTTTTTTTTTTTTTTTTTTTCGACCGTTAATCGGCGCGCGGACTTTGACGACCGCCGGATGATGTTTGCGCAACGCTCTCACCGTCGCAGCTACGCAAATATTCGTTACTCCTGGACTTGTGATGCAAAAGAGGATTCATTTCGATACCGTGATCTAAGCGATACGTAGCGATCGGTTTCACTAACGCGGTGTCCGGTTCGAATCCGATCGGCGACCTCTTATGCCTGGAACCAGTTATCTCGTGATACGGTCCTAATGAGCTCTTCGATCTCGAACTGTCGTTCGAATGTTCCGAGTCAAAGTTGCACAGATCCGACTCGAGACTCTCGAAGTCTATTCCCTCCCGCGAATTTGCCGCGAGAAATCTCGGCATCGCAACCCCGGCATTGTTCACCTGATCGGTCGAATCGCGACGATTCAGTTGCGGTATTAATATCGCGTTATCCGACACGTTATATTCCACTTTGACGTTGGTGCTTTTGTCGTCAAGAGCATCCCGACTACCCCACGTCCTCATCTTGCTCAACACCTTTCTCGAAATTGTGCGCGATTTGTGCTGGGACTGTTGGGTGGTTTTGCCGCCGATTGAATTCTCGGGGCTGGACTCTAGACCGTCGTGATCATTAATTTTGATGGTGACCGAATTCTTGCGCTCGCTGCTACGCGGTGAATTTAAAGAGCTCTTACGCGAGCCCGACGGCGAACGGAAAAAATCGGCCAAGTACGCCAACCGCGATTCCGAGCTGTCCCTGCGCTTCGACTCTTTCGATTTGCTCCTATCGCGTTTCTTGTTCTTGACTCGCTTAGCCGTGCCCACCAAAGTGGATGCCACGTTTTGCACAAAATTTGTGGAATACGAGTGCTCGCACTCAGGCGGTTTTTGACACTTTGTTGATGTGGCTTTCGTGACTGATGTGCCACGCTGTCCTATGGGTTTTAGAGGATAATCGTCGTTGATTATCAACGGTTCCTCGGAGAAATGGGTCTTAAGATTGTTCGGAGGATTTTTGTTATGCAGGACTATGGACTCGTATATGTCGTTGTCCACAATCATAAAGTCCTCGTCTATGTTGCAGGGTGCGTAGCGCGTGCCCTGCACGATGCCGTCGAGCGAGTTTTGTGGCATGTCGCTATAGCTACTACATCCCGGCTGATTGTCTATCAGGTTATTGGCCGAGGAATACAATTTTCTGGTGGTAGGGTTACCTATTTCCTGCAGAAGCGGGGGGCGATGCGCGCTCGCCAACAGGGCTGTACGCAGAGGTGTCTTTTCGAGATCAGGTGCGGAACGGGACCAGCGTTTGCCGCCAGGGGAGGCGGGGTTCGGTGGCTGAGTGATAATAGCCCCGCGCTCACGTTGATGAAGTGTCGACGGTCCCCAAGTCTTACCCTTAACTCCATCCGCCGGTACTAAACGGAGAAAGAAAAAGAAACAAAGTGCTACTCACTACGATACTAACTACTCGTCTCATCTGCTTCGCGTTTATTATCGCTGTCGCGGAAGTAAGCTTTGTTTTGTCACGTACATAAATGTTTCGGAAAGCGAATTGTGCACACTAAAATTTCAGCAATTGATATACACATAAATAATATACACATACTATATATATATATATAAATATAATTCATTGGCTCAAACGTAACTAATTGTATAGCTTTCATAAGAGAAGGAAGTAAAAATATATTCATATGTAGATTAAAATAAAAAACAAAAAACAAAAAAACAAAAAAAAAATACAATAACTGTGCACACCATGCCAAAAAAAGTATTATAACACGAATGAAGTACGAAGTGTCTGCATTAACAGTGTATAACACTCAAATTAAAATCCAAATTATAATCCAAATACATTTTTTATTTATGGTAATAAAAGTGTCACTCATATTGCATATAAAATACATTGTCACGTATGGTACTCTACTCAAAGCGTATATATTTCGAAATAAGAAAATATGTATATACTTACATGCAATTGCTCTAAGTCTTGGAATGCTGGGTGAACCTGGAGGACTGTTCGGTCTCGATGGGTTCCTCACCTTGCCTCGGTCCAAAGCCGTGTGTTGAACGGTGATCGTATGACGAAAATCTAAACAATATCGCATATCTCCGACATATTGAAAATCACGACACTTTTTTTAACACATATAATATTACAAATCTCTTACCCGAAGGTGCGCTGATGTTGCTCCCTGGTTCTTTCTTGTTCAATTTTAAACGTGACTTCTTAAACTTGCCACGTCTCTTGTTTGGCGTAGGCGTGTTTTGCTGAATGATCATTACGGTGAGTTCCCTCTCTAAGAGATCTATCTCGCGCGCGGCTAATTCTTGCTCCCGCTGTCTCAAATTCTCTTCGTGTTGTCTCTGTTGCACTTGCGCTTTCGTTAATTCTTCTTCCCTACAGCGCAGCTCCTTGTGTAATAAAACATTAACAAAATATGTAAACATCTTAAACTTTTTTTTTTGCCTAAAACAATTATAAGGAACTAATTAATAATAATTTATCAATAAAAAAATTAACAATTACTTGTTTTTCTATACACACATAAATTTCTTTAACAATATCTTTTTAACAGTTTCATTATTTATATTAGTCTTACCTCTTCTAAAGAACGGCATGCCTTTGCACAGCATTTAAAATAACGATATACAATTATACACAAAATATTATTTGTTTTGTAAACTTGTTATTAAATACAAGAAACATAACAGTGACGCACAAGGTTATTAAAAAACAAATGTATATATAAATTACACGAAAATTTGTGTATATACCTTTTCTTTCATACGCAATCCGTGCAAAACTTGTTCGATCTCCAGTCTCCAGTCTTCCTGCATCGTGTGAAAAGATTCGTGAGGTGTTGCCGCAAACGCGCTACGCACTTCGTCCAAGGCTACTAAAATGTCCGTGAATCCAGGTCGAGCATGACTGTCCGATGCCCAACATTCTGTATAATAATTATGTTTGACATTGTTATATCAATTTAACTTGTTAAAATCCTCCATGTTTATAAATTATTACCTTCCATAAGAACCCTCCAAGGTTGAGGGCAGGTAGATGGTATAGGCAGAGTCAATTTGTTGACAGCAACACCGTATGCTACAGCTAGAGCATCGATACCTTTGTACGGTGTTTCTCCCGTTAAAAGTTCCCATAACAATACGCCGTAGCTATTAATGTAAACATTTCAAATACTTTTTAACGTAAAACAAGTTATATATAATTAAATGAAGAGAATAAATAAAAATCTCGTTTAGAAACAGAAATAAGAAACTCGATGTGATGATACTGACCTCCATACATCACTAGCTTTGCTAAAAGTACTTTTCTTGATAACTTCTGGCGCCATCCAGGCGTATGTGCCTGCAGCGGACATGCGGGTTGTTTTATAGACTTCTCTCGCCAATCCAAAATCCGTGATTTTTAAAGTCTTGTATTGGAAGTCATCGTTTTCGATTGGCTCGCTCAGCAAGACTGTTAACGTAAAAAAGTTCACATAAGCAAAACTAGCGACTTATTACTTCAACAAATATTAAATAAGATATAAAAAAATGTTTTACTATTAGAACTCTTTAGATCTCTGTGAATGAGACTTATGGGTGCTTTGTTGTGGAGATAATCCATTCCTCTTGCGATCTGTATTGCCCAATCGACTAGTACATCGGGCCTTATTTTTCTACCACTAAGAACTCTGTTAAGACTACCACCGCGAGCGTACTCCATCACAAGACACATATTGGGCATCTTCAAACAGACGCCTTCCAATTGTACAATATTTTCGTGTTTTAATAACCAAAACAGTTTTGCTTCTTGTCGTACATTTTCTAATGTTACACTGATTTCTTCGCCCGCATCTTGACGCGCAGCTTTTACAGCTACCTCGCGATCTTTCCAAAAGCCCCTAAAACAAAATTAATTAGAATATATATTAAAACAGACTTTTATTACAATGTGTACATCTTGAGAACTAATTTAATATTTTAAATAATGTTTGTTAGATCAGTTTTTTAGATCAAACATTTCTGTTTTACATAATAAAAAAAATTTAAGGTTTTTGTTTTTTTTTTTTTATAATCAATCTTTGGATCTTTGTATAAATTAATTTTCGTACCTATATACTTTTCCAAATCCTCCGACTCCTATGACTTCTTCTAGTTGCAATTCATCAAAGTCAATTTCAATAGGCTGAACTTTATCAATCACCGATGAAACTCTATCAATACTCTCTGCCTCCGCGACAAAATTCGCTGGAAAAATTCCCACTTTTCCGCGAATCTTTCCAGTCCACCAACCCTCGTCACCTGAGATTTTTGCGTCCTTAGATAAAACCTAATGTAGGAAAACAGTAAATGTATTGTTCTTTGTAATTTTGTATATTATTTGTGAAAAATTATATATAATAATTGTGTTAAATATTCTATATAAAAATTAACCTCAACAGTTTCCCCTCTCTGCAGGGATAACTCATCTTCACCCTGAGCAACATAATCAAAAAGAGCTGTAAAAATGATAGTACTATTGTCCTGTCGAGATTGAGAGGAGGAATGTGTGCCATGAGATGGACTAGTCTGTTGAGAGACAGTTCTTGCAGTTCCACCACTATGTGTATCAGAGACACTGCTATCAGACATGTTGTTGCTAGATGAACGTCCATATATGTACCCGTAACTGCAAGAAAAATTTTGTTACAAAATGACATTATCTTGAAAATGCTTAGTTATCAATACAGTTTGTTATTTTAAAGAACATATATGTGCGTTGTCTACCTAGTGGTATGATTATTGGTTCTGCTGTTGTGCTGATAGCGTGGCGATGAATTGGCTGTGTTTGAACTATGAGGATGTGAGGAGCCATTCTCTGGAAAAAGTAAGAAACGCTCGCTCCGATGACGAGCGTCTGGTTGTCCGTGGTCCATCAAGGTAGACAAGCCTTTCGCCGATAGCCCGGCTGGCGGCATATGGCTCAACACTCTCCTTACTCCTCTCTTCTATAGCTTTAAATCACACCTTTTTCTTCTTACTCTACCCGCACACAGCAACACTTTCATTCGCAACACGAGAGACGTGCAAAACATCAAGAATGATATTTATTGTTTTTCTCGTTGTCCCGCCCTGCTGTTTCTCGCGGATAATAATTTAGAACACATTAAAAGATTGAGAGCACTATCTGTTCCGTTGTAACACAACACGCATCCTCACAACAACGTACACACAGCTCCGACCACCACGTTCTTCCGCATTCGCATTTACATCGAGTTTACAAACACATTCCCGAATTTGCCCATCGGTCGTGTATACCTTGCTCACTCAGTGATCAGTCGGAGAACGTCTCATTGTTTACGGTGAAAAAGATTCGACGATTGCGGACATTGCGTGGCGATAGAGAAACAGGCAGCAGCAAACGCAGTCCTCCCGTGCGCCGTTACAACCCCGTTAAAACAATCTCATCACAAGGGAACCGGCATTCCGAAACGCGTGTGTTCGGCAACGTACGGATCATCGTACCGTCATACCGTCGGATACGCTTTACCGTATAATCACGCGAGAGCGCGCGATTTCGACTTGCACGGTAGAAAATCGCGACGGACACGCGAGCGCGACAGAAATCCGCGCTCTCGGATCAGGTCGCGCAGGGTGTGTATACCCACAAGCCCACTCTGTGTTGACGGGGGGCCCCGTCTTGTCCCTTCGCTCGGCCCGGATCGTTTTTTCTTCGCGTTCAACCGACTCCGAGTCTCACGGGATTCAAACAGGCGCGCTCGTCGGTCCCGGGGACGCGACGCTCCGCGTCAGCCCGCAATTTGTGCGACGACAATCCCACATTTAACAATGCAAAAACTGAACAACACTCACAGCAATAACCTCACGGGACGCCATGTTTCATCATGTTTTACGACCACAGACATCTGTGTGGCAACCACCGACGTGACTCGAGTCGCCGCGGCACAGCTGACAATTAACGTCATCTGGTGACCAACGGAATAGGTAGAGAGAGAGAGAGAAAGCAACGTCCGTTCTCCGTAGATAACGATATTTGTTTGTCCGGGTACGTCAGACGGAAAATTCAGACTTTTGACTTTTCAGTCTCAAACAGCGTGTTAATTTATATTTTCAGAGAATATGTACAAGTGTGCGTTTAGATTGTTCCGTCCCACTTTGCACAGACCGCGGACTGTCAGATACAGCAACATGTACCGTTTCTGAGGGTTCTGTGGGTTAAAAAGTAAAAAACGCACATGGACATCAATCAACATCTGACAAACAAAGCCGTCAAAATATCAGAGTTTAGAAAAAAAAAACAATTAATTAAGACGCGCGTACACGTGGCACAGTTATCAGTGTGCACTGCCCTTGTGGACACAGGGCTGGCTTACAGGGCGGAAAAGCGATTACACACATTTTCTTACAGGCCCCGCCGTTCCGTCTTCTCGCCGCTAAAGTAAAGTCTCGTCACGAGACTCTCGTGTTGTTTTTCCTCCCTGTCACGTGACGTTACTTTAGTCACGTTTTTAAAGACACGTGACTATACAAGGAAAGTCACGTGACTTCGGCCACGTGTTGTTTCTTCTCCCCACCCTGTCACGTGACTTTAAACGTGGTTGTGGACGTAGCACGGAATAGAACCGCGTCCACGTTCGAACGTAACATACGTGCCGACAAGTCGTTCGCGGACGTGGCTAACGTAGTTGCCGATGTGCACCACCCGTGAACATTGCGCTGGTTTACTGTGAGCGGAAAAGCGCGTTGCACACTTATCTCATAAGTCCGGTCGCTCTCGGTCTCTTCTCTGCTGGGCACGTGTGAGGCTCTGTGGGGAATTTCGAAGTAGAAACCTAGGAAACTTTTCGGAGTGAATCCCGACTGAGGTAGACTTGGGGTAAGACGGGTACACGCATTAGCGGTGGACTTGAAAGTTTGTTGCTTCTAGTAGAATTTATTTTCAAAATGGCTGCTACGCGGAGATTGCAAAAGGTAATTGTGATTAACCGTCGCGGTCTGACACACGACACGAGTAGAAGCGGTTAAAGTGTGGGTCTAAATTCGTGCGAGAATTAATCAAGGCCGACGATCTTTCGTGATTGATCGTGCTCGGTGAGGACAGTAACGGTGAAATTGCTAACGCGGTAGTACTCTCTTCGTCTTTTTGGTGCTGACGTCGGGAAATCGTTCGGTCATGTCGTTCGCAATGTCAATAGCCGTAACGTTCCCGCGTTTCGGGAAATGATCATTTCCTCGGTGATATTTCCCACGCGAACAACGAGAAACACTCGCGACTCGAGACTGACGCGACGATCAACGGAAGTGATGTCAAACTCGCATCAGCATCGGACTATCACATTCTGACTTTTTCCAGGAACTTGGCGACTTGAGGGCGTCGGCAATGAAAAACTTCACAAATATCCAAGTAGACGAGACTAATATTCTCACCTGGCAGGGCCTCATATTACCGGTATGTTTACGTCATCACTCTCTCGATACGCAAAGGGCAATGTAACCTCCTAAACCTGTTCACGGAAGTGCAAAGTGCATCCGTAACAGTTTTCCAGGGTCTTGTGACTCATCCTACTTTTTTCTTAGGTCTGTTTATAAAATTTTTCACACTGGAAAAGAAACAGGATGTAGTTTATTTTGAGAAGAGAAAAGAAATATTGTATATGAAGAAAGATAAAGCAATTTAGTTACTTAGAATACAATCCACTTAATAGAGTACAAGATAAATATAGCTCTATGTAATGTCATTAGTACAGAATACGTATATTTTAGTTGTAACTTTGCTCCAATGAACAACAAAATACATATATTTTAAGTTTTTAAACTTTGTTCAGTGAGGCAATGAATTTTCTTCTATAGGACAATCCGCCGTATAACAAGGGTGCATTTCGCATTGAAATCAATTTCCCTGCAGAATATCCTTTTAAACCTCCAAGAATAAATTTTAAAACAAAGATATATCATCCAAATGTAGATGAGAAAGGACAGATATGTTTACCAATTATAAGCGCTGAAAATTGGAAACCTGCTACAAAAACAGATCAAGGTCAGTTTGTCAAATTTATTCATGTCATTATTGTTTTAACAAATAGATTACGTACGTTATTCCAACACGTGTGGTTAATTGATAAGTTTAGTTTTTAAAGAAATAATTTCAATTATACTTATATGTTTTCAATAAATTTTTATATATCAAGATTTACTCTTGTAAAAACCATAAGATATGGATATGAAAAAATTAGCATATTTGTAGAGAGAAATTCAAAAAGTATAAAAGTATATTTTTAATTCAAAATATAAAATTATTTACAGTGATCCAAGCTTTGATAGCATTAGTAAATGATCCAGAGCCTGAGCATCCACTAAGAGCGGATTTAGCTGAGGAGTTTCTGAAAGATAGAAAAAAGTTTTTAAAAAACGCTGAGGAATTTACGAAAAAGCACGCCGAGAAAAGACGAGAATCATCATCTTCCAACGAATAACCCCGAGTAACTAGATTTACTCATCATTGCCACCATGATGCCTGCCACCCGTCAGCCGATTCAAACTCAAGCCAATGTATACCTGTCTGTTAATTCCCTTTGGAATCTCATACCTACAAGTTGAGATGACTACTCTGTACAGTATTGGTTAACACCAGACGAATATAAATGAATATACACAAATTGTAATGTTTGTAAGAAGTGGTATGAACTCTTTTCAGAGAACAGTAAATTATGATAACCTGTATCATATTGTATACAATTTATACTCGAAGTCATTATGCAGTTATACTTTGGTTTCTTGTTCAGAGAATTGTTGCATTCTCAACGTAATTGTAGGAATGTACACGATGAAATGTGTGAAAACTGTGGTTCCACATAAGGAACCAAGTCTGTCAGTTGTAGCAACATATACAATATAGTATGTGTTGAAGTGCATATAATTTTCCAATGTCGTTTAAGATGTTAATTTATAATTGCATTTTGAATTTATATAGCTACTGCTTTATAATTGTTATTGATAGTAAGATTACAACTAATAAAAGACGAACGTTTGCTCTCAATTCTCAATCACTTGTCTAATAAACGAAAATTGAAGAAACCAATTACGAATTTCGAAGTATGAAAATTTGTAATTATTTCTTTATATTTATTTGTATGACAATTTTATTGCGAAACATCTTACAAAAAAATGTAACTGTTTCTTTATCTATTAATCTTCTAGATTCTAAGTAAATAATAATTAACAACATTTTTCAATTTTATTTGTGTCTTCAATGATCGTTTTCAGGAAATTAAATGTAATACAAAATGTTCTTCAAAGAAGAATATTCTCCTGAGTTGTTGTTTTGTTTACATTCTATTCACATAATCAATAATCATGTTTTAAGTTGCTTTATACGAAAAAAACGTATAAGCGTGATGTATAAAATTTGTTATAACATATTCTGACGTTCTTATATATACAGAAAGTAGTACGCACTGATATTATTTAGAAGTGTCTCGAATATTTTTCAGGAACCATAAGAACAAAAGTAAAACATAAACCTAACAAATTGAATACAGTTGATAAGACCCGGAAAAGGAGTTTCTAGTCATTTTTATCTTTCCACTTAATTTTACTGCGGATTTGTCCTTCAGTTTTTATAGTGATCTTAAAAATATCGAAAACACTAACTTTATGCGTGATACCATACGATAACAAAAACTGTCTTAATGTTTTTTTACAAGTTTAATAATATATTTAGATAGGCATATATAAAGTATATTGCATATCTATATATATTAAGTGTGTGTAGTTTTACATATATAATTATGTAAACTTTAAAAAATTGCCAAATAAGATCCAGAGTATATATAAAATGTATCGTTCGTGCTATGTGTGCTGTTTTTTCATATTTTATAAAATTTTCAGGAGTAAGTTATTTTGAATGATATAAATTATTTTGTGTTCAATATATTTATAAAAACTTCAAAACATTTTCTGATTTTAATAATGTATTCACACATGTGTTTGTTTAATAGTTTTTATATGAGTAAAATTTGACATTTATATATATATATATATATATAAAGACTCATAAGAAAACTTTACTTTTGTATTTATCTTTAATGGCAGCACATACAAATATAAATTTTTCTTTTTTATTATGATTAAATTATAAAAAAATCGAAGTTCTTTTTCCGTCAAAGAAATTAATAATATGATACACACTGTGTTTTTGTTTGTTTGTTTTTAAATATTTTCACGCAATTTATGTTCAATATCTTTGAGACAATAAAGCATATCGGAGAAACAAGTATTATCGTCGGTAATGTATATATCTCAAAGATAATAAAAACATCAATTGACTATATATTATCTAGTAGTTACATTAATATTAAATATTAATTATTAATGTGAGGAATTATATACATCTACTTGTGCATATATGTAAGGTATACCCGAGAGCTAGAAGCTTACAGTCCTATTATGTACTATAAATTTTCAGGAGTGTCGGCATTTATTTTTTAAGTATTACGAATAAACAAACTTTATTCACGCGCGGAAAAATCTGTGTTCGGCTGTAAATAATATGTAACTCCAGCGAGACAGAATGTATTCTGTGAAATTCTTTGCAAAGTTGCTTCGGAAAGATAAACTGGACAGTTTGTATCTGTTTTTGCTGTATTTAAACATTGTATAGAAAATAAATGTATTTGGGTGAATGTTTCAGGAATAATAAAGGCTGTTATAAGATCTTAGTTTTATTCAGTTTTGCGTAAGAAAGGATAAAACCTTTTTTTTTTAATATTAAAATTCTATAATTAATAAATAAAGAATACAAATAAAAATAAAAAGAACGACGCTGGTTTTTTTTATCTCTCGATTCTCTTCACTACATTTTTGTGAGCTTGTGTAATGTATATATATATATATTCAAATTGAACTTCTCAGCACTTTATTAGGATCTTCATTTTTATTTCTTTTAAGCTCATGCGCACATTTTATTCAGTTTAACAAATTCGGCATCTCTTACACAGATTCGCAGATCCCACTTTTGGCATACTATAATAAATATTTCGTATTGTATCAAGTCAATAATTTATTAAAGTAATGAAATAATTGAAAAGCTAGGTGGAAGAGGCGGAAATGTTAAATTTGTAAGCGTAGGTTTTTTTTTTTCATTAAAATATATAATTTTTATTTTATATTAAAAAATGTAAAAATCAATCTTACCTAATCCAATAAAGCTGGTAGGTAAAAGTTGATGCGTGCAGTTTGTTTTACATAAGAAAAAAGAGAGAGAAAGAGAGAGAAATATCTATAGAGGTACAGATACAGGAAATAATATTCAATTGTTGTGGAAATGAGATAAATATATTCTCAGTAATACATTCACATCGCTTATTTACATAATCAAATCGATAGACATCAACGTAAATAAAACTATGTAAATATCATTTTTTGTTCTAAATTTATGATATAGCCGGAGTAATATTTTTATGTTATCGTAGACAATCACAGTCTTACAAGTGTAGAAAAGTGTCCTAATTGCAGTTATTATCTCAATACGAATTATCTTTAATTTTAATTATATATTTCGCTTCGTTGGAAACGCACATTAACTAAGGTCTATCTAATTTAGGATACATAATAATTATTATAATAAGTGCTCACATATGTATTACACATGTATTATAATACAGAGAGACGTAATAATTCAAACAAATACGCACTGAACTATATATATAAAAAAAAAAAAAAAAAAAAAAAAAAAGAAAGGAAAACCGAAGAGCAAAGAGGTACAATATTTATTATTACAGAACAAATGCGTTTGTCTGATTTAAACCCCATTATGTATCAGTTTGTTTGACAGACACATCAACCTTTTCCACCAAACTAGTCAATTATATCTTATCAATCGTTTGAAGGTAATGTTCCGTTACAACAAAAGACAAGATGTGTCTGATTAAAATTATATGTTAGTGGTGTTACATTTAAAAAGTACAATAAAACACAAATAAATTTCCAAGTTTAATGACGATAAAAACTAGCATACATTATTAAATGAGCACTCTACAACAAATTTCAGCACTCTAGTATCAATATCATGTATAAATATCATGTATAATCTTTATTCTGTCTTTTTGTAAAAAATAAAATAACATTTATATTATTTACGGATATATGCGTGAATTTAGAGTGATATAAATTGTCAATCGACTTACTAAAATATGATATTAGGAACATTTGTTTTCCTTATTGTATACGGAACATTCCTTGGACTTGACACATTTCAAACGAAGAAAATGAAAATAATAACAAGAAGATAACAGTAATGATTCTACAAATGACAATGGTATTAATAATAAATGACAATTTAGTGAATAAAATATGAAAGATCATTTAAAGCATAATAAAAGAGAATATATATTATTACAAATTACTTACATGTTTGTACACATCCAATATTGAATTCAGCATTAAGCAACGTACGTGTACACCTTTCTGAAAATTTCAATCAATGTATCATTAATTATATTCGTTAATTCTATATAAATAGCAAAAACAATTTGTGCATTTCTTCACATACCGATCGTCCGGTGTACGAGCCAAATATTCTCGTTCGATTAAACCTTCGATACGTTTCTTAATTATTACAGGCGAAGGCAAAAATCGACCTTTTAATTGCTCCGTTACTTCAGTTACGAGTATGTTGTGCTAATAAAACAAAAAATAATTGTTTTTTTAAAAACAATTATATGATACAATTTATAAAAACACAAGTTTTATATTTATATATATATATATATATACCGCCATCCGCTTTCGAGCTTTCATAATTCGCACGATGGCTGCCTCAATCTCATGTTTTCGGTCCTCGTCGACCTTATTGCGTGTCTCTCTTCTTTCAGGTTCGGATTCTCCTTTCGCCGCCACAGTCTGAATCTTTACTCTTGAGAAAGCAATGAGTGTAATTCAGAGTGTAATCCTAAACCTTTATATAATTTATACTATTTATAACATAAAAAATATGTAATACCTATGGAGTTTACTAGTAAAACTATCGTTCACAGAAAAACAGTGTGATGGTTCAATTTCCTTAGTACGAGGGTGTTTAAGTAAAATTCTTTGCGTGGCTTTACCCATTGCGAGAGATTGTAATGCCCTAACCAAGTCCCTCTCTGGAATATCGGTTTCACCTTGAATTTCCTACACAATATTTATACATATGTATATATAGAAATTATATAAATAAGACACACACACACACATATATATATATATATATCATATTTAAACTTATAAACCAAAACTGATGTACCTCATACGTCAGCCTTTCTCTTTTGTTAAAGAGCATTAACACACACATTTGATAGGTGGAAACTTGTATTATGTGTTTTCGTGGTGTGTTACACGCACTACTTCGCTGACTTACTAAGCTACCACTTCCACTGCTACCGTTTCCAATAGAGCTCGAAGATGATGGAGTGTCCAAGCCTCCGCAAGTACTCTCTTCTCTTCGTGGTCCATGGAATATAGCGTTCAGATCAGCGGAACCTACGCATTAACATTCTTTTTCATTCCGCTCGCATTGACGTGAAGCTTTATATTATACCTAATTGTGGCTGTAAAGTTAACTGTCGACCGCTATGTTTAGCCAGATAGAAACGCCGGAAGGCGTCAAAGGCATCGCGCGGTGCGGTGGGCATACTGCATTTTGGGGTGGCCGATTGCGTTGGCCAGAAACCAGTTGTCAATACGCGGACGCTTATATCTACACCATGCAGATTTGCCTATACGAAATTAAAAAAAAAAACAGACAAAATGTGAAGAGCATTGTATTGTAAATTGAATAAGAAAACAAATCTTATATATAGATACTTACACCAGATGTAAGAACATGCTCCTTGAATTCGTCCATAATCGTGTTGCTAACTGTGATATCTTTAAACATGCCCTCCAACTTGGATGTGAACTGACACCCACATTCAGTCTGTAAAATAAATTAAAAATATGTTATTTCACTAACATAGTTCGTTCGAAATTAAAATTTTACTTAGTCCTATTTCTTACCTTAAGTTTGGATATCATATTTTTCTCACTGTCATCTGAGACAGATTTATTCAATAATAACCGTTTGGCTAAATGTTGCTTATAGTACCGTTCAAATACATCCTTCTCTTGTAAGAAGCGGAATAAAACCATAGTTTTATCTAGAATTCCTTCGATCTCTTGCTCTGTCATCTAAAAAAGTTAATATATTATTATCAATGTAATTTTGCAATCTTGCTTATATAACAAATACCGTTTGATGGTTACTTACGCCTTTAACACCTTTTTTCAGTTTATCATCAATGAAGAGCGAAAGATACTCTGGACTCTTGGTATTTAAATTAAGAAAGTATTCAAAGTCTGACGCTATCATTTGTTTATAATTTTTATCGTTATTGAAAGAATAATGTAGAAAATGATCGAAACGATCCTTCAAGTCTAACAAGTTTTGGACGTAAAGAACGGCATTTGTGGTTGATTCATGCTCCTCCTGCACTAAAGCACGACCTTGTTCTCTGAGAAATTGAGACACACAATCGCATACCGTGCGCAAACCATCCGACACTCTCGAAAATAATTTATACATACAACCAAGGTCTTCTGTTTTCTGATTTTTGAGCATATGTACTACACCACTGTTTTCCATCTGTCAATCGCAGAAAGATTCAGTTAACGCGCAATACAATATATATATTGAATATCGTATCAACGATGTGAATCATGAAAAAAAAAAAAAAACAAACAAACAAAAACAAAATAAAACATCTTTACACACCTCAACGATGGTTTTCATGTGAATTTTGATTAATTCTTCTTCTACCACTTCCACTATCCGCGGTTCTGTAGATTCATCTAGATAGTGTTTTGCTCTTTCAGATTCTTCGCAGATTCGAGCTTCAACTTTTTTTATGTATACTGACGCGCTATTTTCCGCAAGAAATTTTTGAGATTCCATCTGAAAGAAAAAAAAAAAAGTACTTTAAATGTGATACGTTTGCGCGAATTACATGCAAATATAATTTAAATTCTATATATATTAAACACTTCTTTTTAAAAACACTTTTAGATTAGACATTTACTCTATAAAACTCAGCACTTTGTTGTAAAAAAGGCCTTTCAAAATCTTCTTCGTACACTTGACGATTGTTAATCCCAAGTAACATTAACATTTGGCAGGCATTTTTTATAGCGCTACGATCTACAACTTCTCCTCTTCTTTCCCTTGCAACCATACCTAATAACGTTTCTCGTAAATGGTCTCTGACGCATCCATATCTGACCACCTAAAATTACGATAAAGTAGTAAAAAATATTGCAACATCTTACTTTTATCGCTATATTGTTACCTTTTCTTTAGACTTATTCACAGGTGTTTTATACATACAATTAAAACTTAACAAATATGAAGATTACCTTATCTCGAAAAATTATTAATCCAAGATTATACACATTGTCTACTTCATTCTGTTGAACATACACTCTGTCCATATACATCAAGATGTCCCTGATCATCACCATTGACGTTTGGTGATCGTTCCACGCGAGATTTAAAGTTTGTAAAAAGTTATTGTGCAGAGATCGAAGGACATCCTCTCGCACTTTGTTTTCAAGATGGTGCGTCACAACTTCCTTCAAGCCGGTATACAAACGCTCTCCATATTTGTGGAGAACCATTGTATAAGCGTTACGATAAAGTTCTTCAAAACTAAGGCCCGAATTATTTTTCTTTTGTATCTCTTGGATAGCACTTTTCAGCAAGGTCCAAATGCTTTCCACATACTTTTCGTCCATAGTTGTCTGTAAACATGGAATATTTATGACAATTAATTGGTTGTTAACTAAACGATAATTATTTTATTTTACTTATTTTTTTTTTTTTTTTCGTTAAAACATTTTAAATCTAAATCGATGTAAATATAAAAAATATTATTATAAAAATGTACATATAATACAGACTGATAAAATATAACTGTTTCTCTTGAGAATGTTAATGTATATATAATGTGTATATATAATTGAATGTTATAATGTATATATAAATTTCTTATGTGTATATATATGTGTGTATACTTTAAATATTAGAAAACAATTCTCACAAAAGTATTACGAATAGTCAGAAGAGTGCTTCTAAACATTAATCCTGACGCAGAGGTTTTACCCACATTGCCTCTTTGTCGCAAATTACGATCTTCGTTTTGAGAATCCATGATTTTGTTTTCCTTATGTTCAGATTTTTATAGTTACTTGTATGGTTTGTTTTGCTTAATCATAACCTTGATTGATGAAAAAAAAACTCTTTTATAGTAAACTTAAAACCACACCGAATCAAAATTAAATAAAATATACTTTTCACATTTGTGGCAACATATAAAACATTGTATTTGACACAATATACGTGTACATAATATAGAATTATAAATAAAGAATATATACAAGTCCTTGTATACTAATATACTTTATTGATTTCTACAAAACCAAGCATTCTTTTTTACCTTGTTATGATATTCAGTAACAAAAAATAGTACGCTTGTACCATTGTTAATTTTTAACAACTATAACAGACCATACTGTTTACAAATTTTATTTCTGACATGTCATGATTGATCATGATTATAAGGCTGCACTCTATTGCAGCTGTCTTCTATGCTACTATGGTAACTATCAATCATTGTTAATATTGAAAATATCTTCAGGTATAAATAATGATTAAAAATATTTATATTTATATGTATATTAATAATTTCATTTTAACAAAGTATATGTGTACGTATGTGTGTGTGTATAAAAATGTAAAATTATTTTAAGTTTGATATATATCTACATATATACATATACAATTAACATTACATTAAGTAATTAATTACTTAAACAATTTTATATATAAATATTGTATATAATAAAAGTGTTTAAAATGTCAACTTAATTATTTTCTTCGCACAAGTAGTTAAGATTTCTAATTAAATTTGAACAAGTGTTTTGCATTTAAAACTTAAATTGTTGTGGTTAAAAAAACGCACGCATTTAATAAAAAAAAAAAAAAACAAACTTGCACGTTTTTGCCATTTTTTATTCCGATTTTCAATAAAAAAAAGAAAACCTAGCAGTATAATAAAATAGGTAGGTTATGAGATTATATATGTGTTTATACGTGCAAGGTGCATTTTCACTGTCGTAAAACAAAGACACACAGAAAAGAAA